GCGACCGCCATATATATGCGTCTAAGACTTCGCTAGCCGGAGCGTCATCACTGTGACGTGCGAAGAGCTGTCTGTGAACGATAAGTTCGTACAGGGGCTCCGCGCCTGATGGCGGCGGGCCAAGACGTACGCAAATGTCGACGGAAGTGAACGCCAGCGTGTGTGCGGCCGAAGCGGTCGGATGGACCGCATCGTGGTGACGTGCGCCCAGCACGGAACGATCAAGCGAATGTCCATGGAACGACGAGCGTACGAGTGCGTGGCGTGCTGAACGGTGGCCTGGGTCAAGGACTGAGCTCCTACGATCCACAGATATACTGGACGCTGATTAGTCCAGCCGCATTCGGATGACATATCCTCGATGGTGAAGTCGAAACGGAACCGGGTACGCGTCCATGCGTGGGATGGTAGACGTCAGCATGTGGGTTCGCTTATCGTCGTTAAGCAGGTTGACCGCTGCTAATGCTGAGCACGCTGCGTTGAATAAATGGGTCATGCGCCTCTGAGCAGCGCGAGGGTTCCGCCGGTAATCGAGGAACTCGCCGGCCCGGTCGGTGATCCAGTCCCGCTCACGCTGAGTGAGCTTGAAAACTCTCAGCGGGAGTATGCCTTCGTCGGGGTGGGCAGGCAGGAAATTCCGGACGAACGAGCACAAGAGCTTCCTCGCTGTCTTGGATACTGGAAATTCCGAGAAGCGAATTGCGCACGATACGTTGCGACGGACGTGCGCGGCGACGATCTCGTCCTGCTCTACGTTCGAGAGAGGGAAGTCGCACACATTCGGCGAGACGGATACGGCTTCCGGCGCTCCTTCGAAAGCAACTTTCAAGCTTCGTACGGCGTCATAGCGGACGACGAGGGACATCACGATGCCGAAAGAACGTTGGGTAGTGGCCGGAGGTGTGATGAAGACGAACTCGCGGACTCGGAAGAAATACGGGAAGCGGTTGTCCAATGCCGTGGCTTTGGGGATCCGAGCTTGCTGCAGAGTGCGGGGTGGGTTGCGGAGAGCGGCGTTCGTCGGCTCGACCGAATAAACCCACACGAAATCTTTCACAGAGAGCAAAGTGCGATCGAATCCTCTGGTGTTGCTCTCGACGTTAGTGGCGTACTGGTCCAGAATAATAAGATGAAGCTCGCGACGGTCAGGGCCAGGTATGAAAAAGTCCTTGGCTTCGAGAACGGCACCCTGACCGTAACCCTTGTGACGACTTGATAGAGTACCGGAAATCTGGGACCTGGTCGCGGAACGATCACAGAAGGCATGGCGCCCTCTGGGGTGGGCGGCAAGGTGTTCTCCTGGACGACGTATTGACCGGCAAGGAGAAGATCAATGACGGTCTGAGAGTCTTCTCGGAAGGCGACAGGCATGCTCCAAGCGCATCAGTTCGAAGAAGGAAATACGACGGGTCGGACTCGGCTCCTCCTTGAAAAAATGGGGGAAGAGTCGGCGAACGTACTTGCCAGATAGGTACCCGCCAGGTGGAATGTGCGAGTAAAGGTCCAGCGGTGCCGCGCTGCTTACGACTGCCGGATCCGATGGGATCGGATTACTGTTGAGTGTCACGTACTGCGCCCACGGGTGACGATGAATGAGATGATGAGCATGATTGGGCGGCGTCTCATCAGGCAAGGCTCGGGTTAGGCGCCACCGTAAGCCTGTTCCGGCGTCGGGCAAGAAAACGCGATGGCGGCGCAGCTGGCAGAGGAGCTGCGGGAGCATTGGCTGCTCGTTCCGCTGCAGCGGCAGGCTGCTTGTCGGGCGACGACGCTCGCAAAAGGAGAACGAGGATGGCTGTTTGGACGAGCCAGGAGGAGTAGCCTCGATAACACTGTCTTGTATAGGAGCAGCAGCCCCAGAAAACTCATATGCAGGAGCAACAGCTCCGGGCGTCGAAGGCGGAGGAGATCCTGGTGGCAACGGAATCGACTCGACGCTGAAGGGGAGCGGGTGTTCGACCTTAGGTTCGACGAACAACGTAGGAATGTGGTA